AGTGCATGTGAAACCCAGTACCCAGTGATGTATGACCGTATAGGAAATTGTTGTTCATTTTAAATACGAATAAATAACGGTTATTTAACGTCTTTGTGCTCAGTTGCTCCGTTTTTGTACATCGGTAAAATGAAGAGCGAAAGCAAATTAGAAACGGCCAATGACTGAATTGTGGTTGCAAGGTAAACCACCAACCTGTCAACTGTGCTGAACGAATGCTCGAGATGATATACTGCTTCTTCCATCGAAGCACTCCTTGCTTTTGGACAAAAAATCATGCTACTCCGTACCGCATGCTTTGTGCGCTGAAGACAGTAGTGTAATGGATCATTCCTCATGTACTTTCTCAATATGGGGGCTGAAAATCGACCAGTAACTACCTGGTATTTCCTGTGAACTTTGTCATTGATGAATTATTCAGTTTTTTGAAAATATATGCTATCACATTCAATATCTTCGACATTGTCAACATTGATTTCGTTTGTCACCGATTCCCGATGAAGGGATTGGAGGGTAATATCTTGAAAGTGAAAATGCCTTGCATTATCTATACGAGGTGATTCCTGCGCAACCTCCCTTTTCTGTTCCTGTTTCCTTGCTAGCTACAGTTACGCCGATTCCGTTTCATGGCGAGCTTTCAATTAAACAACTTTATGTATTTCGGATATACTTCTCTTCCTAGATACGAATCTTCCTGTCACTGCACCTACTAATTTCGACACCTCAGAATGTGGAGCTGGCAGAAATGGTCTTCGATTGAAAATGTCTGAACTTTCCATCGTCCGACTGACCACGAGTTGACTATTTTTTACTGGGAGCATCGTGGGAATTGATTTCATAGGCATCCTTGATTAGGGCAGCTCACTAAGTTGTAAGTGAAAACTCCATTCACCTGAGATCTAGCCGAAATTTTACTCTCTAACTTATCCAAATTGAGTGCAGACCCAAACGACTTCAACCATGCTGACGGTTGTTGAGATGCTCGCTCGAGGTCAGTACCAACCGAATTTGTATGTTTCGTGCAAAAAGACACTTTAAAGCCAAGCAAAATTAGTACTGATAGAATTTATACACTTCAGACGTGGATAGTTGCTAGACGGTACTCATCACTCTGAACAGGGTATTAATATAAGTACTGTAATGACCGTCCGCCAATGTTTGCCTAAATCCCAGATCACTGACCAGAAAACCCTATGACAAATGAGGCTAGAGGATAAATCACGAAACCATTGCTGTAAAAGTCCTCAGTGGCTATCACCGATGGTCCTTCTCCTTAAAAGATCGGTGGTAACTATTAGGATTGTCAAAAAGATACAGAACTATCATTACATGATCCTCGGTCGGCCCCGGGACTTTAAAGGCTAACATCAACGAATACATTATTCATTTGGGAGGTTATGTTGTTTGTTTGTTCTGTGAGTTCTGAGATACGACCGGGGTCACTTGTTTGCGGGGTTAACATTGGGCTTTCTATCAGTGGCGATGGTTAACTTCTCGACCGAAATACCTAGATTGATAGGCCAGGACATGTGTCGTACACTGAGGAAGGTGTTCGAGCAGCAGATGTCTTTATTTACAGTATTCCATTCTATGTGATGCCAATGAATGCTTCTTGTCTTCAACAACATGAGATGGCATGTTATCTCCGAGTAGGACATTTGTGAACAAAGTTGATTTAGTTGTTCACCAAACAATTCCATCCAGTGAACATTGGAGCTCTTAGGTGCATCGTAGGGTACTTGGTGGTGAGTGCTAAACGGGGTCATACAATTCATCCACGATCTCAACAGAAATGCCTTGCCAAAGCATGGATATATGAAAAACTGGTAAAAAACTCCATTGGTTTGGAGTTGAAAAGCAAATTGGAAGAAGTTCACAGTGACCAGAGCTTCAAGGGCATTGTATTTGGTTTTGGACAAGATATGACTGCGGAACGAGCAGTATTCGGGGGAAGAAACACGAGTCGACGACATCTGCACCGAAAACAAGTTGAAGCATCACTGGTCATATCAATATTCCGCCCGATTTTTTCCCCAACTAATTTATCCGTGCACATAAGCAACTAAAAATGTAACACCATGCAAGTCATTCAAATCCACAATTTTCTGCATACGCACAAGAACGTCGTTCATTTTGCAGGAAAAATATGTGGTATGAATGCAAACTCGTTTATCATAGAAGTAAACGGTCAAATAAATACACAAAAGCATCGTGGACCCGGATGCCTTTGATACTCATCTAAATATTACGAGTTGAACCGTGAGAATACCCTTATGT